TTTCCTCATAGAAAAAGACAAGACCTCCTGGGTAAATTGAAAGCATGGGGACCATGAGAGAGGGTTGAAGGGGACAGGAGAGGCAGGGAAGGGAGCAGAGAAAAATGTAGAGCTCGATAAAAGTATAAAGGAAGAAAAGAATTTCCTTATGTGCAGAGGTCTAGGGTCTACTCAAGGCATAAAATACAGAGATCAAATGGACAGAATGGGCAGTCAGCTACAGGTCAGTGAAAAGGGTCTCACAGGTCAGAAATGAGCAAACTGAGGATTGCCCACCAGGGAATCCTGGATCCTTGGGGGTTATGAGCTCCTAGAAGGATCAGAGTCAGACAATGGAACGAATTCCCTAACCTGGGACTCATAGCATCTAGGATAATCCTGATCAGATAATCAGATTCCCAGCAGCCTTTGCTGCCGCCTTACAACCCAGCTATGGGTGAAAGAAAAAGGGGAATAGGGGAGGGAACTGATTGGGAAGGAAGTGGGGGTCAAGCTGAGCCACACTGCTGTCTGCCCCTTACCATTTTGCCTCTCCTGCTCACAGCAATTTGAGAAGTGGCGTCCCAACCAGCCTGACAACTTCTTTGCCACTGGAGAGGACTGTGTCGTGATGATCTGGCATGAGAAGGGCGAATGGAACGATGTCCCCTGCAATTACCAGCTGCCCTTCACGTGTAAAAAGGGCACCGGTAAGAAGGGATTGGGAGGAGGTCACGGGAGGGCAATAAGCCCTTCAGCTGCAAGGGAGCCCCTTGCCTTGTGACCTGGGGGCAGTTCTCTTGTCTCCTGACTACCGGAGGCTATCGGAGCATCCTCAAGAAGCTCGTGGGTGCTGATACGAGGGCCTCTCTCGGCACCAGCATCACAGAGCCAATGGCAAGAACAAGCTGACTCCTGGAAACCTTTCATGGGGACAGAGAGAGGATGACAGTCATGGGCTAGAGGACAGGATCCTCAGCTCCATGCATACCACAGTCCCTCCAATGTCAGCGATCCTGCTCCTACGCATGGCCTGTGTCCCCAGGCCTCCTTTGGGCCCCACTTTCTGGCTTTGTACATTTTCAGAAAGAAGTGAGCGATGTCTCACCATAAGGTCCTCCTTCCCCACCTTAATCCCTTCTTTTTATCATCTGGTCATTGTTTAAAGCCACCTCTGTGGTCCCTCAAGGCCACTGAGGAATGTTAGAACTGAATGCCTGCATCTCCCCGCCCCTACCCCCCGACCCACCACACCTAGTAGTCAATGCTCAGCACTGAGAACAGTCTGATCCCTTCCTCATCATGCCTTGGGCTCTGGGCTAACCTTGTCTCTGCCTATGGGGGCCATTACAAACAACCTCATGAGACCCCTTCCTAAAAAATATTTGTCTCAGTGGCCTGTGGAGATCCCCCAGTGGTGGAGAACGCCAGGACCCTCGGGCAGAAAAAGGACCGGTATGAGATCAGCTCGCTGGTGCGGTACCAGTGTACAGAGGGCTTTGTCCAGCGTCATGTGCCCACCATCCGGTGCCAGCCCAGTGGGCACTGGGAAGAACCTCGAATCACCTGCACAGACCGTGAGCATTGTCCCCCTGCTCCCTCACCTGGCCCAGAGTCAGACTCCACCAATAGGGTCTTCTCCCTTTCCCCAGAGCATAGTGGTAGCTGGTACTGTCCTGGAGACTCTGTGCCAGGCTAGGTAGAGGTTAAGCCAGGCAGAGACGGTATTGGGGAGTCTGTTCCATTAAAAAAAAATTAGTCCCTCCCACAGGGAAGGTCCTTGTTCCCTGAAAGGAGATAAGAAACCTGTGGTCTTTTCCTGAGCCCAAGGAAGGTGGATGAAAAATCCAACCCAAGGGGAACAGAATGGGGCAGCTTTGGGTTGCATTTCTAAGCTCACCATCCACAGGGCGGGCACCTGCAGACAGGGGGAGACTGGGAGAAGCCTAAGCTCGGCCCTACTTCTTCCCCACTCACTGTTAATTCTCCACCTCCCCTTGACTGCAGCCACCACCTACAAGCGCAGGTTACAGAAGCGGAGCTCGAGGCCCACACAGAGGAGCCGCCCCAGCACGGCCCACTGAGAAGAGCTTCCAGGATGTGCCCCCAGGATGCTGAGCCCAGCGGCCATCCAGGCTGACCATGCATCCCAGCCAGATGGTGTCTTCTTGTCGCTTTTTGTCATTAAAGAAGGAAAAATAAAAATACCCCACATTGTGTGTGCCCCGACTCCCCACATCACCCAAGCTACATCTAATTTGTTCCCTCCTCTCACCCCCCCGAAAAAAAAATGCCAAAGCAAATTTACTGTAACCCATGGACTGAGTTTAGAGACATTTCTTTGATCTCCCACCGTGCCTTTCCAGGGACCAGTGCAGGGACAGGGTGAGAAGGGATGGGGTTAAATTAAATAAAGAAGATTATTTTTTTGTTTCCTGACTTTACCCAAGAGAAGTGCAATGGTTGGTTATTTCACCTCCAGGAGAAGCTAGGGAGGCAGGAGGAGAAGCTGGAAGGAGACAGGGCGGGGCGGGGGGAGTATGGTGGCCTCAGAGCATGAAGGACTCGGAAGAGATTGACTGCAGCTTAACACGTTGGACAAAAGGAACCGAGGTCTGCGCCATCGATGAGGAAAGGAGCCTAGGCAGGGGACAGGCTGGCCAAGGGGAAATGAGGTGGCCTTCCCTCTAGAGTCCCTCTTTTAGTGACCACCCTAGCAGGTGTCATTCCTCGGCTGGACTAGGTAGGAGCACTTCCTTCCCAGGGGTACTCCACCGTCCCCTTCCCTCTCCCTACCCCGGGACGGTGCAGGCACCAGTGTTCCGTGCACCTATTTATATTTTTTGAAAACTAAAGATTATGATAATTATAATAATAAAGACATTGGAAGAGATCTATTTCCTTTCTTTTCCTTTTTAAAGAGTTCATTTCATTTCGTAGTTAAGCAGAAGGTGACCGTGAGCTGGAACCTCCGCGGGGTCGTGCTCTGATCCCAAATGGCCCCACCGTGGCATGAGTCCTGGGTGTTCAGTCACTTCTGTTCACCTCATTCTGACCGGAGTGACATGATGCTTGATGGACCCTCTGCGCCTCTGTGTATGTGTGTGTGAATACAGCGTGCCTGTGTGAACACGTGTGACCTGTCTGTGTATGGACGCCTGGGTGTGCCTGTCCACCTGTGCCATTCAGTGGTTTGGAGTGCAGGTTTGCAAATGGGTACACTGCGAACGCAAGAGATGGTATGCTGGTACACTTGGGGCTGAGACAGGAATACTGAAAGTTCAAGGCCAGCCTGGGATCCTGTCCCCAAAAGCAACACAAAAGAACGATTCAAGACACTTGTTGTACCGGGCTTGGTGGCATAGCCTGTAATCTCAGCTACTTGAGGGGCAGAGACAGCCTGAGTTAAGTAGGTGAGACCCTGTCTCACAGTAAATGGTAAAAGAGGGCTGGGGATGTAGCTCAGCGGGAGAGCGCTTGACTAGCAGAAGCAAGGCCCTGGGTTCTTCATTGCCAAAGTGGGGTGATAAATTCCCTGAAGGGCTGTGATGACACACCCTGAGTTTCTGACCCACTCGCTGGAGACTGAGGAATCTGGATTTCTGGCAAATTCCCAAACTGCTTCGTCTGGTGTGAGGGTGCACATCCTCAACTATATAGAAAGGTCAAGACCAGCTTGAGTTATGTGAGACTATCTCATCCCTCTCCCTTCCCCCAGAACAAAGCTGACTGAAGGGCTGGAGAGATGGCTCAGGGTTAACAGGGCTTGCTAGGTCAGGTGGCTCACAATAACCCTTAATTCTAATGCTAATGGAGTCAGTCCCCTTTTGGGCTTCTTCAGGCACCTGTACCCACATGCACATGCATATGCACACACACTCTTAGAAAAGTAAAAGAAAAACTGACTGAACATCCGATTTTTTTGTTTTTTTGAGACAGGTTTCTCTGTAGTTTTGGTGCCTGTCCTGGAACTAGCTCTTGTAGACCAGGCTGGCCTCGAACTCTCAGATTCACCTGCCTCTTCTTCCTGAATGCTGAGATTAAAGGCATGTGCCACCACCGCCCAGTCTGAACATCTGATTGTTAAGCACCCAAGGGACACCTGGATAAAACACAGCTCTGGTTCCCCGAAGTGTTGATGGGGTGAGGAAAAAAGACACTCCATGAATCCTCAGTCTCTGATACCCTTTGGAAGGCACTGGTGCCCTGCCTCAGGAAAGGCACCTCCTACTTTTCTCCCTGAGCCCCTCAAAAATGGGCCATCATGGGGTGAAGATGGCAAAGACGGGAGCCAGACCCCCAACAGCTGGGCCACCACCTGAGGCAGGGTATGTTGTAGTACAGACAAGATCAAAACCAAACCAGCACACAGGGGCAGCTCAGGGGTAGACAGAGGACAGAAGTGAACCCCCCCTCCCCCCCGCCACACACACACACCCTAGGCTGGGATCTAGACCCGGGAACTAAAGGAGATGAAGAGTCAAACATGGAGGTCGACTGGAAGGAGGAAGTGAATCATAGCACCATTTATTAGTCAAAGAAGGGACACACACTCAGAGGGTCACACCCAATAGGGACATGGAAAGGGTACTCCGACTCTGGAACCAGGAGAAGAGGGAAGTTTGTCCCTTCCCTAAGCCCTCACCCATAAGTCTAAGGAGCCTGTGCAGAAATTAAAAGAATCAGCACTTAGCCTTGGGGCAGCTGCAGCCATTGCTCATTCTGGGCACCAGTTTCCTCAGGTTAGGGATGCCAGCTGTACCAGAACGTGGCAGAGCCTTTTAAAGGTCAGTGGACCACAAATGTCCCAGGAAGGGATGCCAAGAAAATTGAGAGTTGGATCTGAAAAAAAAAATAATAATAATATCTTAAAAAAAAAAAAAAGCTGTTTAAGTTGCCAAGTGGTGGTGGAGCACACCTTTAATCCCAGCACTTGGAGGCAGAGGCAGGTGGATCTCAGTGAGTTCGAGGCCAGCCTGGTTTACAAAGTGAGTTCCAGGACAGCTAGGACTATAACACAGAGAAACCCAGTCTCAAGAAACAAAACAAAACAAAATGTTTAAACTGGAAAGTATAAAAATAATATAAACAGTGCCCCAACCCGCAAAAGGCAAGGTGGACCCTTGTGTCAGGAAGTCGGGGGATGGGGGCGGGACGAATGCACAGCTGGCCACTCTGCTAACGCTGGCGCTGGCGGTAACAGTAGACACCATAGCGGGCCTGTGGGTCTGGGAAGCCGAATGTCCGTACTCCTGGCTCGGGGGGCCCACAGTTGGGACGTGGGTGAACTATGGGGTAGCGGGCACTTCCATCTGCCAGCCAGCCAGCATCACAGCGATCCAGACCATGGAACTTCCAAGCAGCAAAGAGCTGGCCCACCGTAGCGATCTGCGCACCGTCTTCCCGGCAGGCCTCCCTGGCCTCCAGCAGTGTCAGCTTCTCGGGGTGTTCCAGGTAGTACACCCACCCTGTGGGAAAGCGGAGCACTTGAGTGCTATTCAGCAGAGGAGGCGGCAGTGCCTGCCACAGACCAGGAAGAACTGCCCTATGGGGGTCTTATTGGACACTTTGGGGAAGGGCACCTTTCTGGGCCTCATCCTGTCATTTCTGTACTCCCCGGCTGCATTCTGAGTGGGCACCTACCTAGACCGGACTAGCCGCTTACCCGCTGTTTACTGAGCACCTATTACATGCCAGCAGACACTTAAGTAGCTGAGGATGACCTTCAGCTTGAACTTCTGATCCTCCTGCCTGCACCTCCCAAGTGTTGAGATCGCACTACAAAGCCCAGTTCAAGAGGTGCTGGGGATGGAAGCCATGCCTTGTCCACTAGGCAAGAACTCTACCAACCGAGCTACATCCCAGCCCTGCTGGACATGTCTAAGCATTTCTGATGTGGGACTCAACACATTTCTGTTTTGTTTATCTGTCAATGAATCATAAGCCTGGTGTTTGGGGAAAGACATGGTTTGTCTGTGCTGATCCGCAGCGCAGTACATAATAGACACTCAGAAGATGTCTGATAAATGAATAACCAGAGGCATCCATGAAGCAAGAGCAAAATGGTAAGAACTGATAAGGACATTGCCTCCAGAACTGCCAATGTTTCAGACCTAGGGCCAAGAGGCAGGCAGAGAAGGGCAGAGGGGTCTGGAGGCTTCACCCATGAGGAGGCCCTCCCTCAGGTTCCAGACGACCATCAAGTGGGCAGGTCTGTGCAGGGCCATCCCACTCACCCTTGAGGGCAGCAGCGAAGCAGAACACATCATAGCGGTGCAGGCGGCGGTGGCGCTGGCCATAGCTGCGAACACCCGGCGCCAGGCCGAGGCCTCCGCAAGGCTGCCGGGGCAGCGCTATAGGGTACTGAACAGAGGCGTCCTGCAGCCAGCCGGCGTTGCACCAGTCCAGACCCTCCTCCCAGGCACGGAAGAGCTGCTCAAAGGAAGCCACCACAGCGTCCTGCTCCCGGCAGGCCTGTTGGGCCGCGTGGAAGTTGAGCTGGTAGCGCCCTTCGCGGGACTGGTAGGGAAAAACCACGCCTAGGAAGGAAGGAAGGGCTCAGGAGGATCAGAAGGAGGCAGCCCGAGCTCCGGCTCCACTGGGATCCAAAACACACAGACACGGCTGCACACACATCCTCAGATAGCTCAGCAAACCTCCCACCTCTGTTCAAGGCCTAAGTCCCAAGGGGAGCCTTCCCCCTGCCTCTTGCCTTTCTCCTAGAACTGAACAGAGTTCCCAGAAAGCACATATTGGCTTGTGAGGTAATTAATTCGTCAAGTGATGTCTCTGACTATAGAAAAGGGTAAAAGTCACCCTGGGGTACAGCTTAAGACATCCCTAGAAACTGCAGGAAAAAGGGTGGTGAAGGGCCCTTAGGTAAGAGTTCCGAGGCCAGGGACACCCTGAGGCAGAAGGCGTCCTTCCTGGTGGCCTTCCTAACAAGGATACATGGTCCTCTCAAAAGTCACCATTCTAGCAGGGTGTGGTGGTTCACACCTGTAATCCCAGCACTGTAATCCCATACCTGTAATCCCAGCAGGAGACTGAGACAGGAGGATTACCATGAGCTCAAGACCAATGTGGTCTACAGAGTGAGCTTCTGTCTCAGAAAACAAAAGCCCGAATCAAATCCATGGTATCGTGCATGTTTGAAATTTTATCTTATAAAAAGTTGAGGGCTTTATTTTATAAAAATTTTATCTTATAATAAATTGAAGGTTCATTTTGTTGTTGTGAGCTGGGTTTGAACCTAGGACTTCATTCACACTAGATACTATTCTACAACTGATGTACATCCCCAGCCCAGTTTCCAGGTTTTTTTGTTTGTTTGTTTTATTTTGTTTTTTTGTTTTTTTGAGACAGGGTTTCTCTGTAGCTTTGGAGCCTGTCCTGGAACTAGCTCTTGTAGACCAGGCTGGCCTCGAACTTACAGAGATCCGCCTGCCTCTGCTTCTAGAGTGCTGGGATTAAAGGCGTGCGCCACCACCGCCCAGCTAAGACCCTGGGTTCTTATCCCCTTCACACACACACACACACACACACAAATTTTCATACTTAAATACGAAAATCTAATAGCAAGATGCCTGCATCCTGAATTGGCATCCTAACTAGCCTGAATTAAATGGCTCCTTTACACAGGATGGGGTTCAGTAGTGTGCCCCAGTCCCTGCTTTATTCATCTGTCTTGCTGACTAACCCTGCAAGAACCTCAGTTCTGGCTCCCATTTCCCTCTTTCTGAACAGGACTGAATGGGAAGGAACAGAAGGCAGTGGCTTCTGGAAGTTGCTCCCTGGGTTTGAACACCGTGTCTGCCACCTATCAGGTATAGAACCTTACATAAGTTACTTGATCTCTCTTAGTTTCCTCATCTGGAAAACAAGAGCCATGATACTGTCCTCTCCTTTTAGGGTTGTTCTGAGACTTAGACGTGCTTACCTGTGTCACGTATAAAGGTCTATGCCTCCTCTGGGTCCTCTCCCCCTCCCTCGGGTCCCAGCGGCATCTGTCAGGGCCTCACCCCGAAGCTCCAGCTCTACCAGGCCACTCTCGTCCTCCAGCCCATCAATGACCTCGCAGCGGTAGCGCCCAGAGTCCTCCAACCGCAGGTCCCTGAGCTCCAGCGAGACCTCCCGCTGTGTGTCCTGCTGCAGCTGGACTCGCCCTTGGTAGTCCCCGAAGGAGCGGTGCCTCGGCCCGATGGCCACCAGCACATCCTGCTCGGGAGACCCGTTCTCTGACAGCCTCCACCACTTCACACGCACGTGTCTCGGGGACGCCAGGGCTGGCTCATAGTGGTAGTGACAGGGCAGGGTCACGGTGGCCCCTCGGTGACTGAACAGGGGCTCCTCAGTCGTCTCCACCACCAGCTTCACTCCATTGAATAGGCCTGGGGGAAGGTGGGTCCCAGGTGCGACAATGGTCTCACAAGGACCACCCATTCCCTCATCCCAAGGCCCTCTAGACTGGCATGTTGTAAAAAGAGCCACTCTGCCCCACTCCTCCAAATACCTGCTGCTCCTCTCTTCCACATACCCACTACCCAGACCTTGTGCCTACTTCCTCTGAGCTGTGACCTGAGACCAGCATGGGCTACTTGTGGTGAAACTCTATCACTAAAAAAAAAAAAAAAAAGGAGGCACCGTCACACCATCAGTTCCCTGAATTTGTACTGGCCTTGCCATCTGCGTGCTGCTTGGATGAAAGGTGGCAATGACTGTTCCACTATGTGTCATTATATGGCCCGTTCTAAGGCTCACACCAAAGCGCCGAGCCACAGGGCTCAATTAATGGGTGCGCCGTTAAGTAGCCATGTTTGGGGCAGTTTGTTCCGCACCAAAAGCGAACTGACAAGTGTTGGGACCGTTTGGAGTCCTGGCCTCCAGCTGCTCTTCCCTGCTAGAGATCTTTACTTTCCTTCTGATTTGAGTTACTGAAAGCTGTGTCCAAGTTGTTTACCAGCTCTGCTTCACGAGCACGTGTTGCCTTGGCCTTGAGGATCAGAGGATAAGGTTTTCACCTGTTGGCCCGCCTGACTGATGGGTATATAAGCCTCCGTGGTGCTATTGAATAGAGGGCTTCTTAACAGTGACTAGGGGTTTATGTCCCTGTCTCCCTGTCTCTCTGTCTCTGTCTCTGTTTCTGTGTGAGTCTTTGTATGTTTCAACCTCCAACCCCTTGCCCAAAGCGCGCAAACTGTATGGTAATGCATAGAGCGCAGACAGGCGTTGTGTGCTGCAACAAGCTAAGCATGGTGGCTCCTGCCTGTGATCACAGCTCTTGGGAGGTGGAGGCAGGAGAGTCAAGACCTCAAAGCTTTCTTCAGCTACACAGAAACTTCGAGACCAGCATAGGATGCTCAGGGTGTGGTTCAGTTAGAAGAGTGTATGCTTAACAGGCACAAGCCCTGGCTTTAGTTCCCAACAGAGCATCAAAACAGGTGTAAAAGTGCACCTGTAATCCCAGAACTCCAGGGACAGGGTCAGTTGGATCAGAAGTTCATGGCCATCCCTAGCTATATATCAAGTCTGATGGCAGCAAGGCTGCTTGAAACCATCTCAAAAAAGAAAAAAGAAAAAGGTAGGAAGGAAGGAAGGAAGGAAGGAAGGAAGGAAGGAAGGACAAAAGAAAGAAGGAAGGACAAAAGAAAGAAGGAAGGACAAAAGAAAGAAGGAAGGACAAAAGAAAGAAGGACAAAAGAAAGAAGAAAAGAAAGAAAGAGAAAGAAAGAGAAAGAAAGAGAAAGAAAGAGAAAGA